CCCGCGGACAGTCTGGAGCAGGAGCTGGGGACGGCGCGGTGGGGGTCGCCGCCTGCTCGTCGGCTCGGACATGGAGAAGGGTTCGTCTGGAAGACTTTTCTTTGTCGCGTCCATTTCTCCTCTTTATTTAAGAAACGTCCTTGCAAGAAATCTGGCCTTCCCTCTGGGCGGATGGGGCACCGCGGCCTAATTTCGTCTGTAGGCTGAGGGCCGGGCCTCTGCTTTCCGAGGAAGCCCCCGGAGGCCTGCGCGCGAGCTCACCCGCCCGTCGGGGCAGGGGCTATCAGCCCACTTGGCGGGCAGGGAGTGGAGTTCCCTTGGGGTCACACAGATAAGACGCGCTGGTGGCTTCTGAAATCCCCAGCGTGTGGCGCTGAGCAGTGCAGGGCTGAAGCTGTGTTTCCAGAGGTGGCCACGGCCTCCTGTCCCTGTCCTGAGTTGTCGCGGACACTTGCAGCGGAGCCTGGACCGCTCGGGAGAGGGGCCGGTGGCCCCAGCCCACTGCTGAGTACGAGAACGAGGGGCTTGGAGACCCGGCGCCGCTGCCGGGCCAGAAGGAACTGAGGCTGAAGGGTGGCCCTGCAGGGAGCCGAGGGGGCGCCGGCTCTCTCCCTGGTCACCTAGCGGGGAACTCGGGCCACAGATTCCAGAGCCTGCGCTAGAAGGAGCGGGCCCCACCCCTGGGTCCAAGGACCGGGAACTGAACTGACACCGAAGTACCCCCCCTCCCCCGCCCGAGGCGACAACAATTTTTCAAAAGTTGGTGGGGATTTAAAGCAGCTTAATTATCATCAAAGACGAGTTTTTCCGACTTAGGCGCGCATTCCTTTGTTCACTTCCTGCGAGCGGGGAAGAGCGCCGGCGGTATCTCGACAGGGAAACTGAGGCAGAGGGCCTACAGAATTAGGAAGGCGAGCTCTGAAGAAACCGGCTTTGCCGACTGGGAATTTAGGAAGGCGACCCCACAGCGGGGGTCAGCGTCGCACACCCTGGGCGCCGGGTGGGCGGGGAATGGAGCGAAGGCGGACACAGTCCCGCCGCGGCCTGTCGGGACGGGCCCCTTCTTTCCCCCTTCCCGGCATTCCCGAGGGCCTCGGGTGTCGTGGTGTCGGGTCGTGCAGCCTCAGGCGGATAACGTTACTCAGCAATTACTCCCCGGTTGTAAGACCCGCGGTTGCGCTGGCTCCGGGTCATTAACGCCGTCGGTGCGCGGCCTTGATTTACGACGCGGGGTCGGCGGGGCGCTGTGTTTCTCGCGCCCGCGAGAGCGCGCGTTTGGTTTTGGGGGACAACGACTTTCCCTGCCCAGCGGGCGACAGTTCTTGTCTCATCTCGCCAGGAGACACCGCGGAGGACGGAGGCGCACGGACAGCGGCGGCCAGGGTGTCAGTCGGAAGGGGGTGGGAATCCAGCGGGCGGTCGACCCTCCTCGGATCCCAAGGCGGGTCGGGACCCCCGCCGGCCCCAGTGCAGCCGCCGTCCTGGCTTCCCGAAACCCCCTGACGCCACACCTCTCTCCCGCAGGGTACAGCACGGTCACCTTCGACGGGACGCCCGGCTACGGCCACGCGCCCTCGCATCATGCGGCCCAGTTCCCCAACCACTCCTTCAAGCATGAGGACCCCATGGGCCAGCAGGGCTCGCTGGGTAAGCGCGGGACCCGCGTGGGGGGCCCTTCCCCCAGAACGCCCCTTCCCCGGCAGTGTCCAGCCCACGGCCAGTTGGGATAATTAGCCCGCTCTCTTAAAAAAAGAGGAGACCGAGTCTTAGCCGGCGCGGTGGCTCACGCCAGTAACCCCAGCACGTTGGGAGGATCCCTTGAGCCCAGGAGTTGGAGACCAGCCTGGGCAACGTAGTGAGACCTCGTCTCTACAAACAGACAAACCGGACGCGCCTGTAGTTCCAGCCACTCGGGAGGCTAAGGCGGGAGCGTCGCCCGAGCCCAGGAGGTAGAGGCTGCGGTGAGCCGTGGTCGTGCCACTGCCCTCCAGCCTGGGCGACTGAGCGAGACCTCCCGTGCAAAAAAGTGAGCCTCCTTCCATCCCAGATGCTCTGGGGACAGCGCCCTTCAGCTGAACCCGCGGAAGCTCCGGGGAACTTGACGCGGGACGCGAGGCTCGCGGCGCCCTGGAGGCCTCCTCCCACACGCCCGCGTCGCATTCGGGCCTGGCGGCCCCGCTCCCTGC